TCTAGAAGAAGTGATGCTGTTTTGAAGGCAAAGGGTCGTCACACCAAATATTGATTTGATTTGGATTTCTCTTCTGTTCGCTCACTTTGTATTTTGTAAATTGGTCAACATAAACTACAATATATATTTTTGAAAGCATTCTTACTTTACAGCATTTTTTCACACCTGCCTAAAACTTTTGCACAGTAGTGTACATCCCAGGTCTTTGTATAACTATGTACAAAAGGGAAATATGTATGTATAAAATTGTTTCCAAGTAATCCAAGGTGATCATAAGTTTTATGAAAATGTACTATAATAAAAAGGAGTGTATCATTTTAGCAGCCCAATCTAAAATGATTAATAAATTAGTTTTAAGGAATTGTGCATGTGTATATACACACATACATATCTTAGCAGCACACAGAAGCAATTCCCTAGAATCTGGTATGTAATGACTAGTGTAAGTACAGATAGCAAGTACCTCAGGTTAAAATTAATTTAAACCAAAACAAATGTTAGAAACAAAACAGACACCTGGAAGCAGAAAAGGGAAAAGCAGCTGTGGCCTCAAGAACTATCAACCTCAAGAATCCATTAAAGAATCCACGCAAACTGGATTAACACCTACAAGGAATCAAAAACTCAGCAGTATAAGTTGAATTGCAATTGCTAGAGGTCAAGCATTTATAAATTATGAAATTTTGGATGTGAGAAACATCTTAGTAGATTTAAGCCCTAGGAAGTAAAATACAACATTTTAACTTAGTGAATATTAGGCTCTTACTAACGTGCAATACAAAAAAATATTGCTCTGTTCTGAAGCTGATGAACATATTCAAATTCCCCCTTAGTATTTTAATGGTTCATGTCATAGAGACAATTACAGCATAACAGGTAATTCATTCACAGAACAGACTGCAATACAAATTAAACATAGCTCTTGACAAATAAAATTAATTTTTGCGAAGTTAAAAAAGGAATTAAACTTCTCATGACTGTTGTGGAATAATAGTGCCAACAAGTAAAAATAAATGTTTATTCAACAATCATTGTTGGATTTATCTGCAATAGCAGATAGTAGCAATAGGATGTTACAGTACTCATTAACATAGATAGCACAAGTTGTCCATTTCTCATTGGATGAAGGTATGTTTTTGCCTTATATCTTTAACCTTTACCTTTTTTGCACTTCCTTACTTTTAAAACATCAAATGGTCACTTCCCCATCCTAGAATATTCTCACATGCATACTGATTTATAACCTTGATTTCTTTGTACATGAACTGTCCATTTAAAGATAGTGGAGAAGGGCTTTTATTTCTCCATATGTGACATTTCCCCCCCTTCTCCACTGAACTATTTTTGGAGTAACATAATGCACGTATGCCTGAAGAGAACGGATACCAGCCTGAGGAAGGGAAAACTGTTATGAGCTGAAAGTTATTCACAGAAAAGCATGAGACATTTAAGGTTATCATCCTTGTGCATGGGATCTTTTTAAAGAGATCTGCCATGATACTAAAAGCTTCACAATAATAACCTAAAAATTAACATTCCCCTTTCAATCACTAGCTAGATAAGGATTACCATCCCAGTATCTGCTTGATTGAATTTCCATCCATTTTCCTTTCTGAAACAGCACAAGCTAATGCATGGAAATCTGTCTCTATTGAAACTTTTCCATTTCCCAAAGCTATAGTGAACTACATTGTGGTTTCTTTATACAGCTTACCTTGAGAAGTTCCACTGCAGACATATTCTTTAATAAATAACCTACATTATTCTACTGAAACGAATGGAAGTTTACGCCATGTAATGATATTAGCTAGAGTTTTATCTATATCATATATTTTAGAAGGGAAACAATATTAATATATGAACAGAAAGGACTTGATTAGTTGAACTGCCTTGCATGAAGCAGATACCTCAATAAACTTGTAACAAAAATATACCCAAGACACTTTGGAGAAAGAGTTAGAATATGAGAGAATCAACTTACTTCCAATAATGGCTCTGATTCAGAAAAGGAAAGGGTACCCATGATGTCATTGCTAACATATAATGAAGAATGGCAAAGGCAAGTGAACTTCAAAAATACATAAATTTTTGCTTTATTTATTATACTAAGGCTTTTGACTCTGTAAACCACAGTAAGATGTCTGCCTTGGGTTAGGGTAGTTGGATGCATTTTTGGCTATATTTTTGTACCAAGCAACTGGATCCCCAACTTGTTTTGTATTGTGTTTTATAGTGTTTTATTATACTGTGATCCACCCAGAGTTGGTCTGCAGTCAGGCAACACCTAAATTTAAATAAATAAATAAATAAATAAATAAATAAATAAATAAAATTGGATGACTTTTAAACACCTGGCACCTTATCTGCCTATTGAAGAATTTGTATGATGACCAGGAAGGAATGGTTGGAACTGCATATGGATCATTTAAATGGTTCAAAAGCAGGAAACTTGTACACTAAGGTTGCATATATTGTCCCCCAATTTATTTAACTTACAGGTAAAATGTATCATGAGAAATGATGGACTAGAAGAAATAACAACTGGAATTAAAATTATTTGATAAAGCATCAACCTCAGATATTCTGATGATATTACTTTGATGGCTAGAAGTGAAGAAGATTTAAGGAATTTCTTGCTGAAGGTGAAAAAGAATAAAAAGCCAGCCTGCTGCTCAACATTTAAAAAAAAAACCAAAACCTAAAATTATATCAACAGGCAATCTCAATCCAGTGTAAATAGCAGAAAAGAACCTGTAGTAGTAAAGACTTTATCTTCCTAGGCTTAAATTCACAGGGACAATGACTGTAGCAGTGAAATAAAGAGACATCTGCTACCTGGCAGAAAAACTATGATAGAACTAGACATGGCTGTGAAAACTGTAGAAAAATTGATATCTTTAAACTGTGATGCTAGAGTACATTGATAAAAAATACACTGGCCTGCAGGAAGAACAAATCATTCAATACTAGATGAAGACTGCTCATTTTAAGCACTTATAATGAAGCAAAAACATATTTTGAACACATAAGAAGAAGACATGGATTACTGGAGAAGTGATTTAGAATATTTAGAAACAATAAAGGCAATGAAAACTTTGCAAAAGAGGCTAACGGAAGGCAAAGTGGCTAGATTCTATCACTATTTTTTATAAGCTTGCACAAGTATATGTGAGTTATTATTTATTTTTATTTATTTATTTTTCAAATTTGTATGCCACCCATCTCCCCCAAATTTGTATGCCGCCCATCTTCCTCAATGGGAGCATGAGGTTGTAAGAACTCAAATAGCAGTTACTGATATATGATGGTGAAATGATGTCCACTGGATCATGAAGAGTTGGAAGAGACTGAACATATTTTAAGTAGTTACAGCATGCCCCCCCCCCAATATTTAATCTGTCAGAACAGGAAAATTATTAACCATATGGGAAACTGTATAGATTTAATTTAATTTAAGTGCAGTCCTTGACCTAAAAAAAAGGTTACACACTCTCAGTCTTCCTTCCAAACAGCAAAGCTCTATTACTCCCTCAGTTCTCTTTGAGCTCACTAGTTCCTTGCTAGCATTACCAACAATGCCTCCCTCCATATCCTAGTGATTGCTGAATATCTCTTTCTCCAGCTGAAGTAGGGAAGCACTGATGTTTTCCCTGACAGAGTTATAACAGATTAGCTGGGCTTCATGGGAAAAATGGGCAAAGCATTCTGGGGCAGCATCAAAAGTGACTCAATCTTCATCTAGCCCATAGGTTGCTAGCCCATAATCTAGAAAATATAGGATGGCCAGTTACTGTAAAGTAAGTTGCTTTTATGGCTCACCTTACCAAGGATGCTATAAATGACTTTGAACTGTTGTATTATAATTTTGGTAGTACTGCTTTGACATTATAATAATATTACTGTTGCCAAGCAGGGCAGAAAACTTCAGGAAAACCTACAAAATGTACATTTTGCCTCAATGTCAAACTTAATGTAGGTATTTCCTTGCTTCAGAATGCAAAATTCACAGAGAAAATGGAAGCAATTTAATATGACATAATGCTGGCAACTTAACTGGAAGTGATCAAATTACTTCCTATTTTAAGGATGGAAAAAGTTTCCCTGAGTAAATAAGAAAGGAAACCTTCTACTGAAATGCACAATCCTTTTTAAAAGGTGTTTTAGGGCAATGGTTTGAAGTAATTAGCCACCAACAACATTTTTCATCTGAAATACATTATTTTGAAATGAAAAGAAGAGGAAAATGCATCTGAACATGCATTACCATCTCTTAAACGATCCACTATAAAAGTGAAGCCTGTAGTTCTTGGGTGCAAGACATATTCATATTTCTGAAGTCCATTTTTTTCAGCAAACGTATCACTCCGGGCTTTAGTTTCATCTAGAGAGAAAAGTTGGAGGAAAAACAATTGTTAAATGCCTTAAATTTCAGCATTCCAGAGAATATCACTAGAATAAAGGATCAAAGAGGTTATATTAGAATGCTTTTACTTCAGTAAGAATGATCACAAAATACTTCTTTTACTTCCTTATATAAACATATACAATTTACTCCCAAAGTCCAATCCTTACAATGCAGAATACAATTGGCAAGAGATTGCCGGCAGACACAGTCACAGTATGCCTTGGGCCAAGGCTACTCTAAAGGGTTTCACAAATTGCAGGACCTAGCCCCACAGTTTGTATCAGCATCAACACCTAGAACCAATCCAATAGGTTTTATAGGATTACAGATCCAGGACCCTGAGGCTAACATTGTATTTATTAGATGTTATTTCTGCTTTTCAGGGAAAAGGAGGGAATCTAGGAATCCATACAGACAAGCAGTACTTAAGAAAACCTTACAAACCTAACCCGTAACTCCCATTAGCCAAGAAGCACAGCTGTTTTTTTTCTTTTTCTTTTTTTAATGCAAAACCCAAACATCCCAACAGCCTATCACGATGTCTCTTCCCAATCCAACAGGAGGAGTGAAAGCACTAAATTAAATTCAAAGACTAAATTTTGTTAGTATGCTTTTTATGAACAGGAAATGTTTGGGACATTATGCATCCAGAGGGAATAACATAATGAGAAACAGTAGTAGCAAAATGCAATGATACAGATCAGGACTTGTGAGGAAGTATAATATTCTCCATATATATTAATGTTAAAAACCAAACCAAACCAAACCAAACCAAACCAAACCAAACCAAACCAAACCAAACCAAACCAAACCAAACCACAGAACTCTTTAAATCAAGTTTCATTTTTCTTATCCCATACTTATATGGAACACAGATATGATATTATCACCACCTTTAAAAGCCTGAAAAACAAATAACAACGCCTGAAAAACTAATAAAATAATGCAAAAAATAGTTAAAAGCTGAAGATAAAATGTTCCATTTTTTTTTCACTTTAACCTTTTTAACTAAATCTATGAAACTGAAACAGAAAGTTATGGTTAAAAACAATTTATGGCATAAAATTATGCTTAAAAAGATCCTAAATATGCCATTATAAGAATGTGTACCAATCCCATTAGATTTACAAAAACAAATTTCACTATTTATTTAAATAAGCAAAAGTAAACATTTGAATGTCCTTATTTGTTCTAGTTATGACTAAGCATATAGATGTAAAAGAACTACTTCCTACTTAATATTACGCAGCATTACTTTGCCCGGCAACACATTCTAAGAATGATTTAACTTCATGGCTCTCGGATATATAATAAAAATAAAGATATTCAACTAATTAGCAACCTGGCCAGTAGTATTCTGGCACTAACTGAACATCTTGATTAATTCTGGGACATCAATGGCCTGGCTAGATATATAAAGAAATGCTGTTGTAGTTGAATAGGAAGCACAAGCAAAAGTATTGCAGATGAAAAACAAAATCTAAGACTGCCATGTTAACATGCACATACAGTGGGGCAAAAAAGTATTTAGTCAGCCACCAATTGTGCAAGTTCTCCCACTTAAAAAGATGAGAACCAAATACTTATTTTCCACCATGATTTGCAAATAAATTCTTTAAAAATCAGACAATGTGATTTTCTGGATTTTTTTCCCCATTTTGTCTCTCATAGTTGAGGTATACCTATGATGAAAATTACAGGCCTCTCTCATCTTTTTAAGACCAAATACTTATTTTCCACCATGATTTGCAAATAAATTCTTTAAAAATCAGACAATGTGATTTTCTGGATTTTTTTCCCCATTTTGTCTCTCATAGTTGAGGTATACCTATGATGAAAATTACAGGCCTCTCTCATCTTTTTAAGACCAAATACTTATTTTCCACCATGATTTGCAAATAAATTCTTTAAAAATCAGACAATGTGATTTTCTGGATTTTTTTCCCCATTTTGTCTCTCATAGTTGAGGTATACCTATGATGAAAATTACAGGCCTCTCTCATCTTTTTAAGACCAAATACTTATTTTCCACCATGATTTGCAAATAAATTCTTTAAAAATCAGACAATGTGATTTTCTGGATTTTTTTCCCCATTTTGTCTCTCATAGTTGAGGTATACCTATGATGAAAATTACAGGCCTCTCTCATCTTTTTAAGACCAAATACTTATTTTCCACCATGATTTGCAAATAAATTCTTTAAAAATCAGACAATGTGATTTTCTGGATTTTTTTCCCCATTTTGTCTCTCATAGTTGAGGTATACCTATGATGAAAATTACAGGCCTCTCTCATCTTTTTAAGTGGGAGAACTTGCACAATTGGTGGCTGACTAAATACTTTTTTGCCCCACTGTAATTAGAATTTCAGCATTTTTTGTAAGCTTTATTCTCTTTAATAATGCTTATTATTCATTGACACAATCTTTCAATCAACCATGGATAGTTTTGATTCCATTTTAATAATTTCCTCTTCTTGTCTGTATTTAACAACTAACAAGGATGGATGGATGGATGGATGGATGGATGGATGGATGGATGGATGGATGGATGGATGGATGGATGGATGGATGGATGGATGGATGGATGGATGGATGGATGGATGGATGGATGGATGGATGGATGGATGGATGGATGGATGGATGGATGGATGGATGGATGGATGGATGGATGGATGGACAGACAAACATATATCCCAACTCCCAGATTCTGGGTAGTTTACAAATTGCTAAAAATAATTAAAAACAAGGAAAACAACAACAACAACTAACTAACTAACTAACTAACTAAGGCAAGAATGACAAAACTGGATGGGAACAAAGAAAAAAGGGCTTCGAGCACCCTTGCCAAAGGCCTGGGCAAAGAGCCAAGTCTTCAGGGCCCTTCAAAACCCCAGTTGGGTACAGTCCATTTGAATCTCAGGAGGAACCTCATTCCAGAGGACAGGGGCTGTTACAGAGAAGGAACACTTCTGGGATCCCAATAGAAGGCATTGTTTAATCAAAGAAACCCAGAATGTACCAACCCTGCCAGATCAGATCAGCTGGGAAGAAACTCTGGGAGACAGGTGTTCCCTCAAGTAACCAGGCCCTGTGACATGAAGGGCTTTACAGGTAACAAACAGCATCTTGAATCACACCTGGAAGCAAACTGGCAACCAGTGCAGCTCATGAAGCAGCGGTGTTACATGGGGATAATAAGGGATGCCCATCACTATCCACGCCACTGCATTCTGGACCAGTTGAAGCTTCTGGGTGGTCTTCAAGGGCAGCACCATATAGAGAAAATAGTTGGTGTTTACTTAGAAATCCCCTTGAGTTGAATGAGCTGAATGAGATTTTTGAGTGTAGGGCTATAGAATAAAGTAACTTCTCCTTCCTAAAATGTGTCCCTTCAACTAAAACATGTTTCATCTTGAACGCTGAAACATTGTCTTTTCAACCTCTGTTCACTTCTGTGCTGAATTCTATTGTAAAAAAATATTTCTGGTTGTGCAGACTTCTTAATATACTTTCCAAAACTCTTTCACATCCCACATCAATTCTATGACCTTATTTTTAGATGTATCAAATATATCTCTACTTTTGCACTGCCCATTTTATCTTCTTTAGCTATCCTAAGATCTGTTCTTCTAAATTTGACTATTTCTCTTGTTTTTCTTCTATCTTTGGTTTTCCCCCTTGCCTCTTAATATGGCCTCTGGAGTAGGGATCTAGTATGATTTGCTTTTATTTTTTGGCTGGGTACACTGACTGTCCCTCGGTGTTAAACTGTATAAAAACTGTCGAAGGCTTTCACGGCCGGAATATGGTGGCTGGTGTGGGTCTTCTGGGCTGTGTGGCCGTGTTCTGGAAGTTTTGTTTCCTAACGTTTTGCCAGCATCTGTGACCGGCATCTTCAGAGGCCATGAGCACAGACAGGAGCAGTACTCTCTGTGCCCAGGATGATGTGACCCTGTTGTGGGTATTTATAGAGATCAGTGAGGGTACCTGAAGGGGTGTGTGGGGGTGTGTGTGGGTTTGAGTTAACGAGTGGCTGCTTGTTTTGGTGTCAGAATATGTGTGTATCTTCCTGGGGGTTAGGC